TACCATGGTGACAAAGCCGTAAAGATGCTTTACACAAGGAAGGCTTTACCACACTTTTGAGAACAGTTGCTCTTAACTTAATACTCTGCAGTTTTACATTTGAAAGAAGAGTAACTCACACTGAACATTCACCATTTGATACAAAAACTGATACTCACCCATGGCTATTGCATAAAAAGTATTCAATACTAATGAACAAGAAAGTCATAACCTGATCACAGTAAAGACCAGAGCACATATCATCATTCAGGTCAAGTATGACTTTATTTGACAGTCAATCCCTTTGCAATTAATAGGGCTGCTTGTGCATGGAAGTATCTGTTTCCTGAAGACACAGATAGAACAATCCCTATGAGAACTAGGGAAGTATTAATCCAAAATTAAAGTTTTTGAACAAAAGCCAACATCGCTTGTTTTAGTATTCAATGCAAAATGTTTGCAAATCCCAAATGACAACACTGTTCCAGTTTCCTAATTCATGGGATTCAAAACATGGAGTCTGGGTTGAAAATTAATTTTAAAACAAAAAGTAATGTGAGTGTTGACTGCAAGTCAGGGGTGTGCATGTATGCTGGGCTGCATCATGAGCAGCATGGGGAGGGGGCTGCTCCCCTCAGCTCAGCAACCTCCTACCACCTCAAAGTAAACCCTGCACTGCGTGAGGACAAGCATGGCGTGGGTGGAGAGAGGACCAGATGATGTTCAAAGGTCCCTTCCAACCTAAACAATCCTACAATTAACACATTTGCACTGTCCCTGCTAAGAGATGTGTAAACTCCCTAACCAAGCAGCAGAACTCATTAGGGGACACGCGGGCACTGGTTAAAAGCATCAGTGGGAAACACAAGGTACAGGCAAGCCTTTCTAGAAGATCCAGGTCAAACAAAGCTCAGTTTGAGTCATGCTTCATGCTTTCCTGCAGACCTGGGTCTGTTCTTTCTGTATTGTGTCAATTCAGGACATTCCCCCAAAGGCTGTCAACTGACATTCTGACTGCTGCATCACCCAGCTGACCAGAAAACACGAGCAACTCACCCCACAATGAGGGCAGTGTTCAGGGCTTACTATCAAGCACAATAAAAAATGCAACATGCCCCGCTTGAACTTAGCTTAATTCACACTAAAAAATGTAAATCTATACCTGCACTCTGCACCATGAGAGAAGACCTAAGGATTCCTGAGAAAAAAACCTCACCGATGACTTTCTAACCAAAATGTAACATGGTACTAAATTAGTCAAGTGTACCTTTTGATGATTAATACTTTTAGCATGTGGTATAATGGGGCTACACATTTCTAGAGGATGGTACCTCTCTGCTCAGCACTACAAATGCACACAAAGTCTTGCCAAGTGTAGCTGTATCTGTCCCCTACAGAAGTAATTGGTTACCACTGTATCTGCCCTGGATCCAGAGAGGGCAATGAACTGCATGTGTTATTCTCTTTTGTATATGCACAGAAAGTGTTGTTATCTTTATTGATACAGTTATGACTTATCAGCTTCCACATACCAAAGATTATGTATCATGGTTTCAATCCAACCTCCTTGGTCGAGAGGAACTTTCCTTACACAATGGATTAATGATTTATGCTTGAGGAGCTGGAGGGCTGTTAACATGTTCTGTCTATTCTCTGGACAAAGATAATTTGGCTTAGCTACCACCCAAAGGAAATCAGGATTTCTAAATATAGGCTGAGGTGGCCAATAATCCTTCAGGAGTTGTGATACTCATTGATATCCAGATTAAATGAGGAATTATGACTAACCCTTAGTGGAAGGGTTTGAAATGGAAAAGCCAAAGAGAAGGTGACTACATAAGGAAAACTCATGCTGTCCCTACATTCCTGCTGACTTCGTTGAGCACAGTATTCAAGGAAAAAGACACAATTAAAAACTGAAACTTTTTCCTGGTCAAGGAAAAAGACACAACAAGATGCTGTGTAAGCATCTTGACAGCTAGTTAGCTGGATGACACATAAAACCTCTTGGAGTTGGATCTAAAACATGGGTAATTATGTGTTTGGTTCTCTTTCATTTCTGTTAATCTGTACCATCTCTTTTATTATTCTTTGGGCTGCAGGAAGAAATTAGTCTTGATTTTTATTTCCACGTTTGTCTCTAGAACAAAAATAATGTCCAGGGTGCTGCTTGGCAAATTGAATTCCCACAGCTTGTTAAACCTTAAAACTGAACCATATCAAAGCTCTCTCACAAACCTTAGCACCTTCCTACAAAACCAGTGTATGTCTCTGAATCTAGAGCTTCCCCAAATATTTGAGACAAAGCTATTGACTGTTCCTACTTATTTCCCATATTTCCCATGTAGGTCAGGGTACACACAGCATCTGACTCCCAAGGCTTCAAGCACAGGAAAAAAGAGTCAGAAGGACACTGACACAATATGAATCTGCTCCCATAATTGTAATTTAAGAGGGGGCAATCCCCACTGCTGGAAGTTCTCAGAATATCAGTTTGCTCTCTGTACAGTGGATTCCTCCAGCCCTGTTTGGGCAGAAAATGAAACTTTAATCTAGTGCCAAATACACTGGGGCTCTGGGTTCAGCTAGGCTCCCTAAATGCTCCCACCACACAAGTACAAAGAACAGCAAGATCATCTCTGTTGAATGTTTTCCCCTGAACAACTGTTACAGCTATCTGCACCGGTTTGCATCTGTGTTCTACATCCCACAGAAATGTTTTGACCTATTATTTGTAAGACCACTGGACAAATATATCATTCATCAGCACAACCACCCAATTATAATACAGCTGCAGCGATCTCTCTGCCAGCTGGTGCTTTGTGTAAATGCCCCATTCCAGAAGAATAGGTTTCCTGTTTTTTTGTGGGTTCCCTCACTACCTGCTTAATCATCAAACCATACAAATTATGGAGTGAGATGAACCTAGCTCTTAAAGTCATAGGCTACAGTGCCAGTAAAGTGATAGACTTCACTAAGATAGACACCCAACTGCACTCCCTCACTTCCCTTGTACACTGACAGCTTGTCCTGCTTCTTCAGCCCATTGAGATCTCACTTAAACCTGCTGAAGAGCAGAAAGTTACCAGCTGCTCTTCTTCTCAACTATTAGGTAACAAAACCCAAAAACTAAATTACCTCCTTTTTAGCAAAGAGGAATTTCTTAGTGCCAAGTACCTAGGCAGTAACTAAACCCTGTCACTGTTCTTATGGGAAAACACTATTTGCTATTCTTGGTAAAGGGAAGGGCTTTCAAATCAAGATAATGTTTCACTTGTTTTTCAGAAACAAATTTAATGGGGGTGGGGAGGGAAGCAGGAAAGCAAAAATAAATTCTACTTTGCACCAAGTTAAATTACTCAAAGTTTCCCAAAATGAGAGGCTTGGGTCAGGAGCACTGGAAAGTTTAAGAAATACTTTAAAAACAACTCCCACAGAGCAAAGCTCCTTCTCCATGACTGAAAGGCATGTAAGGAAGCCAGGTCACTCTGTCTAGCCTGGCTTGCTTTCTTTACCTTTTTTTTTTTTTTTTTTTTTAAGAATTTATTTGGTGGGTTGAACGGCAGGGCCATGTTGCATCTTTTACCATATCTTGATGTTTTCCAGAGTTGCACCTCCAACCCCAGTTCTCCTCTCACTGCAGGAACAAAGGGGGCATGAGCCACCAGCACACTGGTACCACAACTATCCTGACTGGGGGCGAAGTAGAAAAAGAAATTCCATCATTTCTATCCACGTTTTCTCTGATCATCCCTCCCTTCCAAAGCAGGAGAGAAAATAATAGCCGCATGGAGATAGTGCCTCTGAATGCTTTAAGTGCTTTGTTATCCTCAGGAGTTGCAAAGACATCAAGGCTGGCTGGGTACTGTGTTAATGATACTGTCAAGAGGCCAAAATAAAGTGCTACACCACAACCCAGCCTCCTGCTATCAGCACTACCGTCCCACTCTCGTTTGGGCAATCAGGGAAACAGGCTGGAGAATATGCCAGTGGTCTGGGAAAGGAGATCTCAACACTTGGCTTTGCTGATAAGAACCTGGAACCTCTCAGAACACGATTCTGCCAGACACTGATGGCTACATAAAGCACACCAACACTGTAGTTTTGCCACACAACTATTTTGCAACTATCAAATACACCTACAACAAAACCAGTTTGGTGGGAGGGCTTTCCGTATATTTTTCCATGTGGTTGCTGTCAGCAGGCTGGAATCTTGATAAGCTGCACAGCCAACTTGGCTGACTTCACTGAAACCCTGCTGAAGACAAGTCAAGAGCTGAAAAGCTACTGCTTGTGTTTCCCACTGCAAGGCAAGGGAGGACAACCATATCCAGCATCTGGCCAAAACTTGTTTCCAAGTGCATCAAAGATCCATACAGATTCCATCCAAAGGTCAGCAGCTACAGTTTTCAATGAGGAATGTGCTGTTTTTGAGAGACAATGTTGTCACTGTGATCCACTTTCCCTACCCAGGGCAATCAGTCCATTGTTCCCACTGAAAATGAGAAAGGGCTTGAGGTCTCTGAAATGGAAACTGCCTTTAATTGCAAATCATCCTGAAGTATAAACACAGACTGATGCATAACTGATTGATGTTACACATACAGTAAACAGCTCTAAAAGACACTCTTTGTCCCTTGCTTCTCAGAAAAATAAAAGTCAACCAAACAAAAAACCTCAAAATATCCCAAGAGTCCAGAGGATATGATGAGGTGTACTCACTGTAGCATATTACACTTCACAGTACAAAACTAAAACCATCCAATCTGTGCTCTAAATGTGAATTAACTGCCTATCTACTTTCTGAAGCCAGTCACACATTGATAAAGCTGGGTTGTGTAACAAGTCAATGTGCTCACTTCATTCGTGACACAGACATGTTAAAACTGTAGATATAATCTGATTTAGGGTTTCTGCAAGAAAAGACTTTATCCATTCAGGGCTTTGACAGTGAATAAACAGGGAACTCTAAAAAGTATTCTTGAAGGCAGAGAATGAAGAAGATGAAGTACAGAACTTACCTTCCACTGCAAAGAATGGAACCACTGATCCCTCAGGTAGCTGTTTGCAGCCTGCAATAAAGAAAAGTTACAGACAGAATCATTAGTTTCTACCGGTGCTTCAGGTCACTCAGGTACTTTATATTATAACCAGTGACACAAAGACTTTGCTGCATTATAAAATACTGAAACAAAACATTACAAAATATTAAGCTCCTATGAAATGCTGTCCAGCTCAAAGACTGTGAAGAATCCTCCATGAATTCAATCACGTGTGGGTCATTTGCCTCTGCCATTAATTACTAAAAGCAGAATAGGAAGATGGGCTGACATTTTAACAGGAGGGGTGGGTTTTTTCCACACTCTGGTTTCTTTTCTTGTCCTGCTCCTCAGCTGGCCCCAAAGCAATTCAAATAATGTCTTAGCTCTTTCAGTGATATTAAAACAGTGAAAAGCACAGCAGACACAGACGTGCAGATACATGCACAGACTGTTTGCAGCAACAGCATAAATGTTGCAATAATCACTCCCAGCCATCACCCATTTCTGTCTGTATTAAGCACAGCTGCCAGAAATTCCCAGTGTGAAGCCAGGTCGTAGCCAATGGAGGAACAGTTCAACACTCCCAAAGGTCAAAAGGCTTGGTATCAAAAAATATGAAAGCATGTACAGTGACGTAAATATGCATGCCTTAACAAGGTGACATAAGTCTGAAATATTTGAGTGGGTAGAGATGCCCTTTGGCTTTTCCAGCTCCACCTCAACGCTGCCAACAGGCAATTTCTACTCACATTTCAAAATGTTTTACAGAAACAGTGAAAATTACAGGTTAGCCTATAAATCCATGTTTAAAAAAAAAAAAAAAAAAGTGCATTTCTTTGCCAGTCAAAAAGCACATACTTCTTGCAAATTAAAGCATCACTTAACAAGTTTCACTCCCCAACAACTTTTCAGGTAAGCATTCAAAATCCACACTACAGAATGTATTTAATCTCCTAACACTCATTCAGTTCACTGATAATGGCAGGAATACCAAAAGCAAAAATGCTGTATGGTTACCAAAAATATGTTTGATCTCAAGGTGAGCTACTGATGGTTCAGTGACATATATCTGGACTGATAACTGAATTAAATGGAGTAATATCTTTTTATATATGTATTACATATTATTTATATCTTAATGAGAATCAATTGCTCCTCCAGTAGACGTCAAGGCAATAAAGCAGGAATAAATATATTAAAAATAATTTTGGCTGACCACAGAATTTATCCATAACTTTGTTTCATGAAGAATGCTGACATATCAGAATATGAAATTGCTATAAATGTAAATAAAAAACTTCCTTTTCTATTTTCTCCTCTTTGCATGCAATGAAAAATTGTAAAAATATTTGGAGTGCAGATCTTCAGGGTATTTCAGTCAGCCAACATTTAATGATTTTCTGTTATTTACACAGTATTCTACGTATATGTGGGCATTATAACACAAGACAGACTTTTTACCTGTATATCATAGAATTCAATTTCAACTCAATAGAGTTTATACTGCATTTTAATACAATGAACAGGTCAAAAACAATTTGTCACAAAAAGGCAGAAGAATATTTTTAACATAATTAATAAGACATTATTATATACATTTCTTATCTTTGCCCAGAGAGAATGCTCTAAAACCTCAACAGACTTCTTTGAAAAAATTAATTTCAAATTGAACCTTTTTTCTTTTATTAAGGAGACACATGGTTCATGTAGGAGAACAAAAAACCTCCTTTTCAAATTCTGGCATCAAAGCCCTTTAAAGAATAAGTAAAACTGAAGGTTTTTGTAGGCTTCATGCAAACTAAGCAATTTTATCAATAATACTGCAAGGTAAAGATCCACTACATCCTTAAAAAAATTAGGAAGACTGAGTTTATAGGAACTATACAAATTAAGATACTGTTATTTAAATCAATAAAATCAAAACTATTCTAGTGGAAGGAAGTATTTCACTCAAAGAGGCAAAATGTCAACGAGATTCAGTCCCTGGTCTAAAAGTAAGAACAAATGCTGAAGCCCTAATTCGAGATCTGTTAATTATTCTCCTAATTTAATGATGTCAGTAGTACAGATTGTAAGACCACAGCAAATAATTAGAGAATATTGTGTGTAGATAGATTGTGGAAGCGATTGGAGCCCTAACTGTCAGTGAGGACAACAGCATCATGCAGGGGAGGAGGCACAAGTGGACTGCAAATACTGGGGGAGAAAAGAAACAAAGAATGCTGCAAGACAAATCCAAAACTGGCAAAGGAAAGACTTGTACAACTCTATGGCAGCAATATACAGAAAGCATATTAAAAGTAAAATTAGCAAAGTGACTGTGTTCCAAGTGAGGGACCAAGCACTGTCTACACAGAGTTATTGGAAGGAAGAGATCAAGCAAACTGGCACCTGAGTCTAGGTTAGAAACCTGAACCACTATAAACACAAAGAGCTCAGGTTGTTACTCAAGACCACTTCCCAGGAAAATCAAGGCAAAGTCAACAGAAAATGGAAGAACAAACCTTTAGAGAAACCCCACACTTCTACTAGTGATCAGGACTCAGTGGTAAGAGAAGCTTGGAAGGCCAATGGCCACTCACCAGCACTCTTTACACCACTTTCAGCACAGACTGAGTGCTTTACCCCAACCACCCTTATCCTGAGGGAGCTGCCTGACACCAGCACTGCCCACTCTCCCAGGCTGCAGGGACTAATCTCCCAGTGCACCCTTCCTGCCACCTGACCCCAGCAAAACCACAGCACCATGCAGGAAACGCTGCATCTTTTGCAAAGGAAAACAAAGATCTCACTCTTGCACAGCATCCCTTGGTCCTCCTTCCTCTTTTTCAGGCTTACACTGAGAAGGCACTACAAGGAGCATTTCTTTCTTACCAAAGGAACAGTGAGTTCATAGCATGCCAGGATGAAAAAAGAGCCACCAAGCTCTTGTGGGTGCTCAGCTGCCCAGCCAGCTCTGCAGGCACTGAATTACTCGAGCATTCGGTTATTGTGAGCAACATCTCTGAAGTTTAAGCAACGAGCACCCAAGTGTAAAGCAGTGGAGGGAACCACAATTCATTTATGGGGCTACACATAGACATTTACAATTTTATCTGGTGTGCACTGACAGAACCCAGGCTTTCTGCACTGAAGTCATCACTTCCTGGGAACTGACACCTACAGTTTTTTACTGCAGCTAAGGGCATAGTTCACTCTACTTGTTCAGCTCTAGAGTACAATAAAAAGGAGAAAATGAGACAGAAAAGACTCAGCTAGAAATGTTTTGCCTGCTGTTGTCACAAATAGTAATGAGACAGGACTGAAGTAAAATGAAGATTTTACAATTCTTCAGTGTACTTCTATACAGAGGTATTATTTTCTATGCAAAATAATACTTTAGGTCCCAATTCTGCATAATTTTGTTCTCAAATGCAGTGGCTTTAATGGGGTAATGGGTGACACATGGTTCAACTGAGCTTCCTGCACAATCAAGACCTCACATTGTTTTTGTATAACCACAATACAGTAGAAAAATACTTTAGAAAACAGGAAAATGTGGGAGTAAAACTCTTAAAAGTCACAAGAAGATTAAACTACTTGTAGCTTATTTATTATTCCAATGAGGAAGAATAATATCTACTTTAAGAACATCTAATGTTGGCAGTATTTTTTTTAAGATTAACTGATCCTGGAACTGTGTTCTGAAGGATTTTATATTCCCATTTTTGGGGTGTCAAGGTTCAGTCAGAGAGGAAAAGCCACCTGGGATCAGCTGTAGTATAAACTTTACTCATAGGATTAAACTCTCCTTCTTTAAAAAGACAGCTCACAGAAGAAAAACTCGGCAAGAGATTAAATGCCTGCATATGCAAAGCTTTGGTCAATGTGAGTAAATTTATATCTCTGCTGAAAAAGGAAGTATTTGCTCTGCACCCCAACTACTTCATTTCTTAGTCAATGAGTAGGAATACAAGTTTATCATTAAAAAGCAGTGAACATTTTAAAGGCAAGTTTTTCTTTTTGCTCACAAAAATAGGAAACCAAACACTTGCTTCATGCCAGTGTTAACAGCCCCTGCAAAAATTTGTACCCAGGCAAGGAGGAGACTAAATAGGAACCTGTGTGGCACTGAGGAACAGAACACCTGAAACTCTGCAAGAAACAGAGCACTCTAAAAATTATGGTGAAGACCTCTGCCATTCCTTTAACAGTAAATTACCACAACATCCCTTGCCACTGGCATGTGTGTTATTCAGAAGAATACAAGAACAGACTTGTCTACGTAGCAAACTCTTCCCAAGTTATCCCTTGCAACAGAGTCCTTCACACATATGCTTCTAGGGGATTTTGCCATCTGAAAAGATGTGGCAATAAATGGGATTTGATGAGCCAGATTTTGGCTTTGACTCTTCATGAGTTTATTCTGTGATTCTCTCTCCCCCTCACTTGCTTTCTGGTCAGAAGGATGGAGGTTTTGTTATGCTTTTTTTCCAGCAGATATTCATTACTAGGACTCATAAAACAGCACATCTGCCCCCATTTATTATCAGTCATGGGAACAGCAGAGTGTCCCAAGGCTGCAGGAAGCCAAGCCCCATGGCATGCACACAGCTGTACAAAACCTTCACAGTGCTGATGCAGATCCCAGTGTTGCACCTCTGACTTGGGCAGACCTGCAAGGGAAACCTGCCACTCTCCTGGCTGAACCCAGGATTTGATGAGAATTGTTAGAAATGCCCTTTTCCTCCTTAAAATATTCCCTGCCTCTGCTGGGTTGTGGTCCTTGAATGACCTCTCCATACTGGCAGCATTGGCTGGGCTGGCACTTAAAACAAAAGGCAGGTTCTCCAAGGAGACTAAAATAAAGGATTACTGCAAAACCAATGGAAACATTTACCGTGGGGACTCCCTGGCACAAACAGCGTGGTCAAGCACCGAGTGAACGTGTGACTGTTGTGCTTGTCAAGCCTTCCTGCTCTGTTTGTTTTTCCTTCTGACTACACTCGATTGCCAAGAAATGAATAAAACAACACAACCGACAGGGAATGGAAGTGGTGGCTTTAAGGCTAAAAGAAAGGACACCACAGGAAAGCAAGGCAGTACTGTCATGACTGAAATACCAAAGCCTTTTTCCTGGTACTCTTCCTACATTTGGTGTTTAGCAGATCATGAAATTATACTGTAAGGTTTTTTTCAATCTATTTCAAAAGGTTCTTCCAGTTATTTCACTATCAAGGGTAGCATCCTCTTCACAATCATCCACACACCACCATAATCACACCTTGTGCTTTACAAAGGGAAAGCAGAAGAGCAGAAGCCTAGCCCAGCTCAAGGAGGCCCTGCTATTCCTGATACTAAAGAGCTCACACTTCATCAAAAGCTAAATTTAGCTCCCATTTCCCAGCCTGAAGAGTTTGTGGCCTATGAGCCAGTTTCAGTAACACCTTCTTTCACACCTGCTATCCCAACCGGAGGGAAGAAAAAATATCTGAGATTTTGATTGCTGCTCATGGAAAGGACCAGGGGCCACATCATCATTTGGCAGGGGGAAAGAAAACACAAGCCCTCAGCATATCTAGAAAACTGACAGTCTGTGATCCCCAGAAAACTGATTGTCATTGACTCCCACAGGGGACAATAGGAATCCCCAAATGCCAGGCAGTGAAATGCTCAGATAGCTGTGCTTATTCAACAAACACTGAATTGGGAAGAACTCCACACATGAAAATGTCTTTTAAATGTGAACCCAGCCCGGATTAAGCTGCTTGAGAACCAAGTCTTCCTCTGAAACTCAGGTAGACACGTCCTGTTATCATGATCTAATTTCCTAAGAGGAGCTGCATCACCTCCGGTGCTGCCTGACAGATTTCATGTGTTAAAATAGGTTGGGATGGGTCAGTGTTGCCATGGGAGGGCTTTGGGATGATGTAAGGAAAGGCAATGGCACTCTTCCCTCTCTGACTCATTACTGTGCACTAATAAGCCAGAAATAGACCCTGGTGACAGCAGACAGAGGGGATGAAAACTTGAACATGGACAGGGGCTCTCCTGTGGCATCTCACACAGAATAGTTTAGGTTAGAAAATACCTCTAAGATCAAATCCAACATCTAACCCAGCTCACCACTAAGCCATGTCCCCAGGCACCACATCTACATCTTTCAAACACTTGAGGGATGGTGACTCAATCACTTCCCTGGGCAGCCTATGCCCTGAGAACACTTTTGGGGAAGAATTTTTCATAACAGCCAATCTAAATCTTCACAGCCTTTCCCTAACCCACTAAGCAGGTCACCTTATCATAGGAGGTCAGGTTGGTCAAGCAGGACCAGCCCTTCATAAATCCATGTTGCCTTAAGTGAAGCAGAAATTGGAATCTTAAATTTTTCTCAAAAATGAAAAACTGGGAAAGTCTGTGATTCAAAGTACTAAACTGTTTTGTTTTATATCAAATGATGTCAATAATACCCCATAGTATTTAATAATTTACAGTGCAGCATGTGCAAAAACATAGATCAAAATATAAAATTTCTATTCATAAGAAATATGAAATAAATTTGGGGTAGTCAAAACAGTTAACTGAGAATTTTTTACATATATATATATACACAGACATATATATATGTATAGTTCTGGTTTTTTTTACACCTTATTTAAATGCTTTGGAAAACAATAAAATTTCAGGTTTCAGCAAAAGTGCACTTTAGAAGAAACATGTTTTGGACTAGTTTGACTTGCTCCTCTATCATACACTTCCTGATAGTAGAGCTGGACATGACATCAGAGCATGCTGCTGCTCAGATTAGCAGGGCAGAATGATTTCATAAAAAAAAGGAAGTCACAATTTTCCAGAGATGTATTGAAGTCTCTCGGATATCTGGAAATAAATGAACTATGCAAGGGCTACTTTCCCAGCTCCTCAGTTAAAGTATCTTTTGGATACCTCTACTCTTTGTTACATATACTAGAGAATTTCTGCTAGACTCAACTACCTCATAAATCCAGCTTTTTCAACTTGATTTCCTCAGCAGACTAAACACAACTATGAGAACTGTTTTGGATTTGTGAATACACATTACAACTGTATAAGAGAAATCTAATTTTATACTCCCTCCAATCGACCACATCTGATGAATCAAGATACTACCAAGGACCAAGTCATATTAAAAACATTTTTTATAGTTTGTATTTTGAATTATGTTGAAATTCCCATAGTTATAATGTAATCTGATCCAGAGTGCTCAGCCAGGCAGCAATAAACAGGAGTCCAGCTCACTCCACTTCTTTATGAGTTTCTGTGAGGTTACATAAAGACACCAATCTTTCTGAAGAAAATACCAAAGTATCCATGCTAAGATGTTGCTGTTTCACAAACATAACTATTTATGCATTTGGTTTGTTGTTATTTTCTTTTTCCTTTTTTTTTTTTTAAAGAGACAAATGTCAGGCTGCTCCAGATTACAGCCCGCCTACCCTCCCAATTTCCTTTCCACTCAGCAGGAAGCTGTGGGTGCAATTTTTATCTTGTACCCCATTAAGCAGACCCAAAAAGGCAGCTGCCATAAACTACAGAATAAAAGCTTGGAAACAGAATTTGGAAAGGCAGGTGTAACTACTCCATCTGTTGAAATAGATACAAACATAAATGCCAGCACTACTAGGGAAATTTATTGAAAAAGCAGAATCACAATTATCATGAGAAAATCATCCAACTTGGGAAATCGAGACCATTTTCTGTCTAATTAATTCCATTAATGCATTATCAAGGAAGATTTCAATATTTCAACAATGAGGATCCTAATCTAGCTATTGGGAAATGATAGCTTATCTTCCTACCTTCCACTTACAGTCCTACCTGGATGAAATGCATATAGAACATAGTCATGGCTATGTAATCAACTGAAACAGTAAAATCCCAAAGGGTAACAAAGAACATTGAAAAACATAAGAGAGAACCATGCAAGAGTTAAGCTGAAGCCAGTTTGGTATTTTTAAGTTATGACCTTTCAAAGTTCTTTGAGGGCCATGCAGCTTTTCCTACTTACTCCAGAGTATTTCCAAAGCTCATTGCTATGGAGTGCTTTTCTGTCATTAAAACTTGCAGTGACCTAACAGGGCCTATAAAGCCTCACAAGTGGATGAAGAAATCTGGAATAATGTAAACACAGTATCTTCTGTTTGAAAACAACACTTCAGAGAACCAGCATATATAGACATCCATACAAATATACTGAAATACTTCAGTGAAGATTTATTATCTTTTAAAAATAGGCATCTGCCAGTTCCAGTGCAAGTCCTGGGTTTCCTATATGAATTCAAGGATGAAACTTCTAACTTTTTTTCATGCAGGAATAGGACTACATGTAAAAATACAATCATTCCAGGCCTGTATCAATGTGCCTTTACACAGACTACTACTTTGTTGCACAAATCCAGCAAGAAGATTTAATCACTGTGGCCGAAAATTTCCATTCTGAGTGTTAAACACCACAAACAGTTTCAGAGCTATCACCCTTGCAATCACCTGAGAAAATCACAAATTTTCTGGTGGTTAGATAATTTGACAGCACCAAGTTCTATGCCTTTTCTGAGTCAATCTAATTAAGACTTCATGCACAGGAAACAGAAAGAAGTTGAAGGAGATTCACAGTAAGAGGGAAAGAAAGTTGCACTTTTATGTTTACTGTACCTGAAGTAGGACAGTACCCCCCGGGATTGTGAGCTGTAAACAGTACTTAGGGGCATTCTCCCAGGAGAGCAGTTGAACATCTTCAATAGCACTGTAGGAAATAGAGTTTTCCATGTACCCAGTTGGCTGCAAGAAAACAAAGGAGAAAGGAAAAAAAAATGTTTACTTAGCCATCATAAGTTTCACAATTTCAAAGTAAGAACAACATTATGAAAATATTCTTGGTATTGAAAATATCTGCGAAATCTAATTGAAAAGCAAAATTCCTACCCAGGTCATTCAAGAGAGCCCCCTTCCTTCAACTCATTCAAGTGTTAAGATCACTCACATAAAAACAAAACCAAATCAAACCAGCCATCCAAGGTGCCCGAAATAAACAAATGCCAAACTGCCCTGGACCCAAAACTCAATGGAACCTAATTCCAGGTTGAGTTGAGCTATGAAGGGGTCTGTCCATGCTCTCAATGCATGGAGCAGCATCTCAATCACAGACAGATTGGCACTGTCCCATAGCAAGGTTGCTTTATTCCACACATCCTTGCTCTTCTCCCCAGCTGCAATTTTGATCAACCACATCAAGAGCCAGACTCCTTCATTTGACAGTTGTTCTTGGGGCTCCAAAGATACAGGCCTCAAGTCTTAGACTCAACCAAAAGCAAAGCAACCAACATACTCATCTTGGCCTACAGGTAAGTTTCCTGCAGAGAGTGCTGATGTCCAGTTTAAAATGAAAGCCACAATTAAAACATAAATAAGTAACTGCACTTTGCAATTAAATGTACAATACAAACTGATAGTTGCAGGAAAAAAAATCTTAAACATGAAACTCCTTATTAGTATCCCTGTAATTCTTAGGTATTACAGAAGTACAATTATCTCTGAGATAAGCTGAAATATAAATGTATCTATGCAAGCACACATGAAATTATGTCTTGAACTCAGTAAATACACAGTGCTATAGCTGTGCATCTATTGAGTATGCATTCATACACTGTACTTTATGCAAGTAATTTTTAAAATAATTGAATATTTAACAGAAGTCCTCCAAAGACATCATTTACTTCGTTGTGCTACAGCATAAGTGAACAGATCGGTATTGCTGTGGCACAGAAACTATTTTCATACAAAAATAATTAATCCCATCTCCTGGATAAACCATAGACTTGACCATGTCCTTAAAGAGAACAGAGCTCATTACATTTATGAATTATTTTCTCACTATTACTGATTTACATATAACTTCAACTTCTCAAACTCACTCCCACTGTGCCCAATACAGAAGTTATTTTTAACTGACAGTCTTGAAATAACGAAGGCAAGGGAGAAACCACATCTATTTCAGGGTCAAACAGGGCCAACTCCTAAAATCATAACACAGGATTCCTGGGGGCGAGTGTGAAATAAGCAAATTGCATTTGGAGCGTCTCTACTTCTAATTGGTACAACTTTCTTCCATAAGTTAAGTAGGTGGTGCATCTGGAAACCGTACTTTGCAGTTATACACTTCATACATGTTCCTAAGCCCATAAACGTCATCCACCAAAAATGCAGTGACAGCCCTGTCACCCACCTTTGCTGCTACAAGAATTCAACTGTCTTTTCAGCAAGAAAAATCCAGTGAGCCACAGAACTCAACCTCAATATCTTTTTCCCTAACAGTTGTTGCTGCAGTGCTCATTTTGCACCAGTCCTGGGTGAAAACAATTTTCACTGTCTCTTTAACAAAACCCTTGTTATGCAGGAAGTATGATAAACTTCTGCTTATTCATTTACCCACAATATTGTTCTACACTAGTGACTGGAATCCCAGTGGCTTAATGCTGATACTATACGTCATGCGCTGCCTACTGGAGAGTAATTATCTCGTTCTCACAGGAAGCCAAAGGCCCGAGATCCTTTGGTAATCAGCATTACAACACTCAGGGAAAAATATCAAAACAGCCAACAAAAAATCTAGTATGCTCAGGGGGCAAAGTTATCAAAAACATGCTCTGAAAGGCTGGAGAAGGGAGAAATCCTGAACCAGTTAATGCAAATATAAAATGAAATGAATCAAAGTTATTTAAATTTCTCTTTTGAGAAGGTGCTGACTGCCCTTAATACCCTCCATTAACTTCAAAGAGGATTTGAGGAATTCTCACAGAATCTGTTCCCAAGAGAAGCTTCTCCTATACCTTAAATCATCCATTTAAACAGCATTAAAGACAACTGAGCCAGTTCAACCACAGCTCTGTAGCCATACACAAGTGATTTCATCCCAGGCATAAAACTCTTCTCACAGGACAGTCCCTTTCCTTAAAGTGAATGGAGGAGCAGAGTTCTGCAGTTTGCCAAGGATGGGAAGGCTACCTAAAACCATAAGATGGAATTATGCAGATGGTCAATCACTCTAAATGAAAGCCAATGAGGTACTTTATGTAGCATTCATATGATCCCATGTCCACACCTTCCATCTAGCTATACTACAGACACACAGTTGTTGGCCATCTTACTCAAAAAATGAGCAGCCTAAACATACTTCAATCCCTGTAAGCATCATCACATGCATTGCTTCTGCTTTCACTAAAGACATCATGTTCTAAGAAGTGAAATATTTTCAGTTCTGAAAACCAGTTCCAGGCAGCTTCACCTCTGTTTCACAACTGAGAGATTCTAAAGCACGGTGACTTATCACTCTATAGCAATCCTTTAAATTGTGCTGTCCAACACTGAGGACCATGCTCCCACATCAGGGCTGAGCAGAAATGCCCTGAAGAAGCACCAAAGCAGAGGCTGTCATCAGACCTGAGCTCAGAGAGTTGTGGTGCTCCTCACACAGACCACGGCACTCACAAGGGGAAGGTCAGCCCCACACAAAGGTGTCCTCTCCCTAACCTCTCCATGCACACAGATGTAAGGACAGAGGCCGTGTTCCTCAGCACTGTTTTCTCAAGACCAAGCACAGTTCAGCCATTTATCAGGAAACAGCCTGAGGTAAAACCACAGCCTGAGTCACTAGTTTCTCTTAAAACACAGGTTATTTTGACATTCAGGTATGTGAACGTCAATCACAGTGAATCATTGTGGTTGATAAATAAGTGCTGCACGTTCTCATGTTGCACTGGTCTTGCTTGCACCCACCCCCAGAAGCTGTATCCTCACCCTCAGGTCTCTCCATGGGAAAGTCAAATTAGAACAACATGCAAGGCCAGAAATGTGGATTCAGAGGTCTGAAAATACCTCAAATGAGATAGATCCTCAGTGGGTCACCATGAAGCATCTGGCATCAATACTAGTCTTAAGCAGCATTCCCATTTCCATCCACCCACTTTCTCTCTGCCCACAAAAATATTTGTCTGGCTTTGGTGTCAGGCAGATCAGGGAATCCATCCAGCTTTTGCCAGATTACTTCTGAGCTCCTTCAGCCCCATTTCTGACACAAAACAGAAAATAGTATGTTAACAACATAGGGGCAGCATATGATTCAGAACGGGGAGCTGAGGACCTGAATACTTCAGTTTAATTATTGGTATCAGACAGTCTAAAGCCACAGTGTCTTGAGCAGCAAGATGTCAAGTTCAGTTGAAAATGCCTTTATTTAAAAAAATCGTAACTCTTATTTTTATAGTTGTCATTTTTGAAAGGAGATTTATATTTCCTGGCAAAGTCTGATATCTATGAAATGAAGCAAGATAATGGACTTTTCTACCTCACTCTACAAAATTAATCCTGACTTAAGAATGTTTGGCCAGAGAATCTACATATGTCAGCTTACAGATTTACAGTTACAGCTTGAACTTCTGGCTGTTTGCTGTTGAACATGTTCTGAAAAATATAAGAGATTCATAAAGGAAAATGCAATTTATTACAACAAACAAAAACCCCACAAGGAAACATTTTCCTCTTCCCATTAGCCCCTTAATTCCCTAACGAAACACTCAGCTTCTCTGCTGGGAAATCAGGTATGTTTTAACCTCAGTGAGAACTTGGTCTTTTTTTCAGTTCCATAAAGATTTATTAATCATACAGCTCTGAAACTTTGCACCAGAATAGGCACATACCAAATCCTACTACAAATCAAATCTTAGGGGAATCCAGCGCTGTCAAAACTGGAAGAACATGTAGGCTCCTGCGTAAGCCTGGTTTTCTCTTGTGTTTCTGGGAAAAGTCAGCAACAAGCAGCAAACTACTCAATAATGCAAAGATCTGCCCACTTGTTTCCAGAGGAAATTCTAAGGGAAAGAATAATCGTGACGTCCATTGTTAATATGAGGCTTGTATGATCTTACTCATATAATAATGCACTAAATCTTCAGCTGCATATTTTCCAAAGAAAGTATCTAGAAAATATGAATTCTACAAATAGAGATGGTTATTTGCATTAAAACATAATTAGACTGACAACTCTCACCAACACAACAACGGAGAATGATTTTCCCAATTAAATACTCATTGCAGGAAGTGGGATGGAAATGGGGCTATTGCAGACCCTTTCTCTTCTGCTGTCAGGTGTTTATTTCTCTCTTGGCTGCTCTTAGGAATGAGCCATTCTCCTGCTGTAGCCCAGGATGCAGAGCATGCGGTATCACATGTAAGTTTTCCATACCCAAATAACATCCTACTAAATAACACATAGGAAGAGCTGATTGTTCTCAAAACGTTGATGGGGGTGGAGACAATTCAGTTGATACTGAATGGTAATGGACTCCAAAACTGCTGAAAACAATGGCTGGTTTGAAATAAATCTCGGTTAGAAGACATCCATGGCTCCAGAGAATGTCCGTGCAAATATAGATATTTCAGATAAGGGCAATTAACATCTTTTCTCATTAACTACAGAGCCTATTAGAAGACATTTATCAAGTTCAGCAATTAGTAGTACTATGCCACAATATGCAGTACAGTACAATTTGTCTTCTTCTTGACATGGAAGAATTTACTACCACGCTCACCTGTCACAATGACTTGAGAGAGTCAATGTTAATCTCGCAGAGATTAACCTGGTAAAACAGACAAGAAGAGTAACAGCAAGGAGACACCCAACTCTGCCCCAAAACTACACTAAAGTATTTCTGAGCTTTCTTAGACCAACATTCTCATCTAATCCATCAGACTTCCCGGCCTCCCAACTTGCCCATCATCACCAT